ATGGCTTGATTGCGATACTGAAGCGTAACGGGTTTCGCTGGATTGTCTGGGCAGGCCTGAGCGAAGTGCGTCGACCGGCGCGCACCAGCTTCCATGTTTTGAGCGATTTTGCCGTGTGTGTATATATAATGCTGGAATAGCATGATTAGTGGGGTCTGACAAGGAGACACGGGCTTACATTTGGAAAATGCGCCTTCTTTCATGGGTTCTCCAAGATGGGTGTAGGTGTGGCGGAGTAAAAGACTGTTTTAGCAATTGAAAACAATTGAAATACCTTACCATCACCTCGCTGTCGTACTTTGCGTTGACTTTATTACATGCTTTCTCCTATCTCTGTTCTCCACGCGTCACATCATCGCATCCTGTGGCGCGCAGCGCGTGGAGCAGCCCCATCATGGCCCCGCTATCATTATGACGTACTCTGCGCGTTGAGCTCCATAACAAAACCAAAGACCCGGAAAGCTCATCACAGCATTCAACAACACTTACGAATTATAAACACTTGACAAAACCACGCTCAATATAGCAACCAGTCCCTCAAACAGTATCAAGATGGCCAGCGCAACTAGGAAAGACCTCCTCAAGAAGGTCTACAACATGGTACCGCCCATGCTTGAAAGCTTCCACAAGGGTACGGACATGTGACAATAGTCAACGAAAAAGAGTCTAACTTGCTTGTACAGGTCAATTGGGTCGCGTAGCTGTTATCGGCGGTAGTGAAGACTACACTGGTGCGCCCTACTTCTCTGCTATGGCATCCGCAAAGCTAGGTTGTGACATGGTAAGAATACACATATATCTTTACAACAAACAACTTGCTCAACGTCCTACAGTCTCACGTAATCTGCGAACCTGGTGCCGGTGCGGTGATCAAGACTTACTCTCCCAACCTCATGGTGCATCCATACATGCGTCAATCGAAGAACCTCGCCAAGACCGAAAGCGCAGAGAGCATCACCTCAGAAGTCGTTAGCATGCTATCACGCCTACATGTTATTGTCATTGGTCCCGGCCTTGGTCGTGATGAGCTCATGCAAAACACCTGCGCACAGGTTATCCAAGAGGCAAGGAAACAGGGCATTCCGTTCGTGCTGGACGCAGACGGTCTATACCTTGCGCAGACAAGACCGGAGCTTGTGGATGGCTGCACCGAGTGTATACTCACACCCAACGTTGTTGAGTTCGGAAGGCTAGCCAAGGCTAAGGGTGTAGATGTCAATGAAGGCGATCCTTCAGAGCTCTGCGCCAAATTGTCAAAGGCTTTTGGCGGCGTCACCATTATTCAAAAGGGCTCCAAGGACTACATATCCAATGGCTCGCACACACTCGTATCCGAGGGCGAGGGTGGTTTAAAGCGCTCTGGTGGCCAAGGTGATACTCTTACCGGCAGTTTGGCGACCTTGTTGGCATACAGGAAAGCATACCACGACAAGATCTGGGATATCGGAACCGAGATGTCGAGGAGTGAGACACTTGCTCTTGCAGCATATGGTGGATCATGCATTACCAGGGAGTGCTCGAAGCTTGCATTCAAGGAGAAGGGCAGGTCGCTGCAAGCCAGCGACTTGACTGAACATGTGCACACTGCTTTCTTGAACGTCATCGGTGAGAGGGAAGAGACTCCTAATTTGTAAGTTGGTTATGGCAACTTTGGGGTTGGAAAAAGTTAAATTTTGATGGCAAGCATATCTGGTGCCAAAGATTGGCAGTAATACATAAATGAGCGGAACAAGCTGTATAGATACATGTTTTCAATACTCGATTTTCGTATCGTTGAACGAATAATTCGTTCAATAAAGCGTATACGTGTCCAAAACTGCCATGGTGTGTTTCCTTGGTACACAATCCGGACATCTCGAGATTCTGATTTGGATGAGGACAAATTTCTTAGGAAATATTTTACGAATCAGAAGAGGGCCCGGAGAGGGTCATCCTGATCGAAACTACATGTGAACCTCTAAGCAAGATCTGAGATAGACGCATTGAGAAGGCGCAGTACTCAAAGAGCTGCAAAACGTCACTCCCGAGCAACGCACCATGATCTTTGACCATGTCCACGATACATGCAGCACACTGCTTCCACGGGAGCATCCGAATAGAATAAGCGCGTATTCACGCAGGACATCTGGAAATAGATAATGGACAAACTAGAGATGCTTTGAGTATTGAGCCTTAGTTTGGTTGGGCTGGTGAGGCTCAGCGACTGCGCATATGCAAGGGGTGATACAAGACGGTCGTACGCCGCGAACCTACACCCAATGTAAGCAATCCTCATCAAATCCGGGATTAATGGCTTGACGTCGGCAGACAGAGTAGTTCCTGTCTAGGTAACTATTCGTGCTTCGCCTCTGTCGGATATCTCCAAGGCTTCCTTTGTCTACTAAAATATCGGAATGCATTTGCATGTTCGTCTGTGCAACAACAGCACCAGTGTAGCCATGGGTAAACAAAGAGAGACTTTAAGCAGCTCTGCAATTACCATACTTCATATGTGCATTCGAGTACTCACCACTACACTTCTCCATTATATTTGTTAGACCATGGAACACGCTGCAGAGGATTACTATGACATGCCCGTCGAAATGCTGCCGTCTGCAAACTTTGCAGGCCGGCCTACGAGCGAGATCAGTACGAGCATGCTTGATGGTCTTTGGACTATGATGTTTTCCTCTGCCTCGAATTCCGAAGACGAAGCGGAGTATGACAACGATGCCACACTGGAACTACGAACACCACCGAGATCACCACCATCGCACAGACAACCAGAGTCACCAGAAACACCAACGATTAGAATGGTGTCACCGCCGCTCAAAGACAACCTTAGACTGTGGAGGAGAAGCTTCAGCAATAATGTCAATGTCGCAGATCAACCTCAATTGCGGAAGAAGTCACAGACAGCACCTCCGGGCGTCTTCGAAGCATTGATTGCGCCAGCACTAGAACCGCGACGAGCAATCAGTGCAAAGCTGACCTATACGAAAACGATCAGGAGGGGGAAACCGAGGCCGTGTGATAGGTTCGCGAACTGTTTGGATATCAGAGAAGCCTCTAACAACGAGCGACTGGGACCGCGCAAGGCACTACCCAAACCACCATGCCAGGGTGATGAGGCCACCATCTTGTCTGAGATGAGGCATGATCCCGGATCTCTCTCCAACAAAGCACGAGTACAGGAAACCTTGAGACAGAAGCAGCTTAGAACGTTAAACACAGCTCTGGCGGACTTTGAATCAAAGAAATTACCTACCTCACCAAGCTCGATGCTGTCAACACCACGAGAATGTTACGCGATACCAAACCAGCTTGCGACAAGTGAAACTTTAGGTAGTCCACACTCATCTCGCTCGTGGGGTCGGAAATCAGTCAAGTCGGTCAAAACCGTTATTCATAAAAAAACCCACTCGCCCTCGTCCGCACGGGCAAACGTAGAAGGCCGCCGTACGCTAAAGCGCAAGCACAACAATGGAGACGTTGACGCGGCTGAAAGGCGGAGAGTTTATCTACCCGGGGCGATTATGCTGGCGGCGCATCCAGCTAAGCTCCGTAGAGACTCTGTCGCAACGCTTGATCCATTTACGTTTGACCTCAAGCTAGACTCACTAGGAAGGCGAATATCGGATACCGTCGGGCTGGATGGCATAGTCATGTTTTTCGAGGAATTCGGTGTGGTTGGGAAGGTTACTGAGGTCACCTTTGACCAGTACTGGTTACGAGAAAGTCTAATCATGAGCGACGACATGGATGAAGGGATGCAGGACATGGCCACGCGCAAGGCAAGCGTTTGTAGCGTGGAGGAGACAGGGCCAATGTGCCATGGTGTCGCACAGAGTCCTCCCCAGGAAGAGGGCCTGAAGTCCAAGTTCTCGTCCGCGTCATCTACGGTTTCGATGCATCCACCAGAGAAACGTAAGCGCAGCAGGCTGAGAGGACTGCTGTCACCAGGCCTTCCTGGCGCAGCCTTCCTCAAGTCCCCTGCGACTTGGGGACAACATATGGAAAGTTGGTGACCAAGTTAGCAACAGCATAGATTGAATCAATCAAACCTTACGGGAAATGAGCCGCGTAACGCGATTCAGGCTGGGGTACCTAGGTACCTGGGGGTGATGGTCTGCCAAGGTGTGAATCGCGATGAGGACACCAACCCTAACGGGTAGTTCGCGACACATGGGCTGGCGGTTGCCAGTATGGGAGACGATCATTGAGCCTGGACTCTTCAATTGCTGACATGTCTAACGGAGTCGAGAAAACTGACGGCGATCCGCCGTTTCCGCGATTCGCGTGCACTTGAGCGATGACGACTGATGGCTGGCGATTCAGCCGTGCGGCGGACGGATTGGGATTAACAGGGTGATTGGCGCGACGCCAGAGAAAAGATGTGTGGGCGACGCCGCTGCCACTGACAGCACAGTTTGCCAAATGCGAAAGCACGCATGAAACCTGGTGGTCCTTCACCGAGTGTGGGTTCACGATAGGGTCGCACTGGGTAGACCCCAGGATCGAGCAGCCAGGGTCGGCTCATTGGTTTCCGTGCGTCAGAAGTGAGGCAGCGAATGAAAATTGCGGCCGGCCCCTTTGGCCCAATAACACATCAGACCATGGCCAGCGATCGCCAACGAGGATGGCCCTTCTGAGCCCAGCTTGGCCCTCTGTCCACCGCTCAGCGCGGGCCGCAGTCGTCAGACGCTCTCCGACACGAGCCAGCGCATCGCTCGTCCCCCATGCTCTGAGGTGGTGCTAAAAGCACATGCTCCCCTTCTCAACCCGCACTCTCACTTATTCATCGCCTCGCTATTCTCAGAGACCCCAATCTGCCTCTTTCTTGACAATCACCGCCCATCACCACCGTAAGATCTTCCTGCACAGACGATCCCTTGCTTTGGCCGTTGTTGCTGATCACCGTCCCTCGTGCAGCCTGCTTCTTACACCGCTACCAACCGCTACCAACCGCTACCACTATTTTTTTCTCTCCTGCCGCACCATCCCACTACCCCTCAGACGTCATGGCCTCGACTCTTTCGAATAGCAGTAGCAGCAGTAGTAGTAGTAGTAGTAATACCTACGTCGACTTCCTCGAACAGGCCAAGCGCAACTTCTGCCTGAGCAACGCACATCTCTCGCACGAGGAGCTGAACCGCGCCTGGTTCCAGGCCGCCTGCCAAACCTCACAACCTTCCGTGGCCCACGAGGTACCACGCTCAATGGCCTTCAGCGCGTCAGACATGACTCAGCTCCCAGTATGGACTACCTTTGGTCTGCTCGTCCCTGATCTAACACCCACCAGACTACCGGCTTCGAGTCCATGGACCGTACCCGCTCGGCCCCCGTCATGAACCGCTCAGACTCGGCCATGGCCAGCGGTCTCCAGCGCTCAAACACTTCATACTCTGACTGGCAGTCCATGCCCCAAGAGCAAAATACCGACTACACGCTCTACTCTGACTCTTCAATGCGAAGACAGCCGACTCTCCAGTCGGTGCCAGAGACTGCTTACAACAGCATCGCTGAGTACAGCGTTGGCGACTACGTCAACAGCTGCATCCAGCCAGACAACTCATCCCTCCCCACCCCCCAGCATTCACAACAGTTGCAACTGACACCAAACCTGCAGTGGAGTTCGTCTTCGGATGTCTCTTCACCCAGCACGCCGTCAACAGCTCTGATGACTCCTGTTACTCAATCTAGTAACATGAGTCGTCAAGGTAGTTACAACCCTTTGTTTTTTGATAACATTTCCATGTCGCGCAACCAGTCAAATTCTTCATGTATGCCCATCCTCCCAGAGGATGGGTCTTTTCCTTTTTCCTTTAACGTCGCATCAAAGCCCATCAGCGAGTCCGCTGATGGTTCTCATTTTCTCAACTTCACTGGCTCCTCCAGTGAAGCTTTCCTTTCTTCATCTATTCCTGCAAGTGCTACACTTGCCTCTTCCGACAACGATCAGTCGTGCCTGGCGGAGGATATGCGGAGGTCGACTTCAGCTTCATCAAGCGAGGGTTATTCGAGCGAGATCTCTGCATCTTCATTGAATAGCTCTCGTCAATCGCAACGCGAACGCGAGATCGTTGCGCAAGCTGCGTCTCGCAAGATTGCTCCGAAGGCAATCGACAACAATGATAAGACCGAGTCTGCGTCATCCAATGCTCAGATGACAAGGATAAGGTCTGAGGATGGTTCCTCTAAGACTGTCGGTGTTCTGTCAAAGACACCGTACGTGCGCCCTCAACATCCAAAGATCAAGTGTAATTTCTGCAACGAGCGACCCGATGGGTTCCGTGGCACTCATGAGCTTGACCGTCACATTGCTCGTGCCCATGCCTCACGCAGGAAGGGCTACATCTGCGTCGACTCTTCAGCCGACAAGAAGTTCCTTGCCAATTGTAAGCACTGCCGTAACAAGAAGGTGTACGGCGCGTACTACAACGCTGCCGCTCACCTTCGACGTGCGCACTTCCATCCCCGCAAGAGGGGCAGGAAGGGCAAGAACGACGAGAAGCGTGGTGGCATTGGTGGCGGAGACCACCCTCCTATGGAGTATCTCAAGCAAAACTGGATCAAAGAGGTGGAAGTCGACAACAAGCCCACCCCGCAATCGCCAGAGAGCCAATCCGACAATGATGCGGCCGAGCAGATCGACAACTCCTTCGACGCTCCCTCTTATGAGATTGACAACACTGCTGTCCCCGCCGCGGCTGCCGCCTACCCCGCGTCACAGCAACCTCTGCCTATGCAGGTCCCCATGCCCATGCCCATGCCCATGCCAGTACAGATGATCAACCAAGTCCCTGTAGACTCAAACCAGTTTAACATGGACTATGGTATGAGTATGCATGCGAGTGAGCCTATGGTCTTCGACAACACCGCCTTCTTCGACCCCAATCTCCCTGTCTCGACCGACATGAGTAACTTCCAGTTCGACGCGTACATGGGTCCTCCCATGTAGGCACTTCTTCTTCTGCCTCCTTCTCATCTTCTTTCTCCTTGGCTCGTTGAGCCGCTGATGTATATAACGTTGGGCCTGGGCTTTGCTTTTTGTCTTTGGAGTTTGATGCCTGAGACCACCAGTTCGTCTTCCTATGGAGCGGCTGTGGTAGGTCCGCATCGTGGCGTTTTCGTACTTTTTTCTCACGCTCGCGTCGTATATGATCGAATTCGCTTGCAGCGTTGCTTTATTTAGCTGATAGAGAAAGAGGGAGCACTCCGCGAAGCCGTGCTGCTAGGGAGATAGACGTTTGCATCATGCATCAATGTCGTTATCATACCATTAATGCCTGTGTGTGGCTTTTGCTACCGGGCTTCAAAGAAAGTAAAATATAGAATAACTAAAACCTACACGCACGATTGACTGTGATGTTTGACAAGACCCTTGACGCCTCTGCCATCGACAATGCAACATGTGACAAAGATATGCGAGGATGGGAGCAGATCTTTGCACACTCACCAACCGCGTGATACTTGTCCACATCGGGTCACATCACCATCGTTGTGCGTTGCTGCGCTAGTCAGCACTTTACGCATCCCCTTTCTTTCCTTTAACTATTATTGTTATATGCATATGCACAGCATAGCACAATAGATACCACGTCTTACTAGACGTTCCGTACCAAGACATGTCATTTCTGATATCCACTCCACCCAGACATCGCCCCGCAGGCGCAATATGCCCATTACGAGACATGCTGGGGTCCTCTGAGTGCATGGACGCAATTCAATATTAGATGTATATACTCAATGAATCACGCATGTAGACTCCACAGAGCTGTTTTGCGTAAGTTGGAAGAGGGTCTATGTTCGGAAAGTAGATGTACATATGTGATGGTGGATCTGATCAAGAAAGAATCTGTAAAGTGGGAACACCGCTAAATTGATAAGCGCACGTGTGCATTGTTGACAAAACAACATAGGTCTGCATAGGATGCTCTTGCTGTTGTCGCTTTCGCTGTCTATATCAAGACCAACCGTTTGTTGAGTCCTTAACTTTATGCTTTGACAATCATCCGATGGCCCACATATGTCGAGATATAGCCTGTGCCCGACCTTTGACAAGAAAGGCCTAGTAGCTAGAGTTGGGGTAGTTACCACCGCCCTGACTCGAGTTGTCGACGGGGTTTGCGGGTCCACCAGTCTGACCCAATGCGCCGCCAACTTGTGTCGCCTCACCCTTTGACTGTTTGATAGCATCTCTTGCTTCGGCCTGCTCGGCCTTCTTCCTGTTGAATCGTTAGTATAATTTTCCAATGTAACTCGGTCCATAGCAGGAGTGTCTACCTATCCAAGTCACTCGCCAAATCAGGCTGTTCTCCACCACCTCCCATACCCTTTCCTCCCTTAGCTACTGCATCCGCAACGCGTCCCTCACCTGGTGCAGCCATTTGTTGTCCGTCTAGCTCCTTATGCCTTCCTACATCTTCATGACTCAGACCCTTTCTCTCTTCGCCCGCTGGTGCGCCGTGTACACCCATGCCTTCCTCGAACTTTGCGTTCCGTAGTCCTTCGGCATCGGTAGCTTGTTTGGTGGGGATACGTTGGTCAACACTGGCTGAGTTGTCGGCGGCGTTGAATTCTGTTTGGACTTGCTCTTTTGGGTCTTTTTGCGCTGGGTTGCCAGGTGTGGTGTAGGCTTGGTCTAGGGAAGGCTGCGAGGGGCCTTTAGGATCGAGACCGGACATGTTGGGATTGGTATATGTGGTTGCGGTGGATGTGTAAGTGAAATATCAATCTGCAATGGAATCAGACAGAATGTGAGATTGAAGACTGGGTGTAATTGGGGTTCTATACGGGAATTCAAGCTGAAGCTTGGAGGACATTGTTTTGACTATCTGCCATTACTATGACGTCTGCGGGGTGGGCCCGTCATTTATTCTTGCCCCACCCGCGCGCGCTCCCGTCATGTGAGAACGCGGAAAACAAACGTCTGGGCCGCGTTTTAGTCTTTGGTTGTAGTAATCGGTATCAGTGCGGGAGGACTAAGTGCGTGATCGGTCCCAAAGCCTGCGTGCTGGAAATACCAGTGTGATGAGGTCCGTACACTTCACTCAGCCATCCCAGACTCACTTGCTTATGGTTCGCAGGAAGCGACAGAATACTGGTATTAGAGTTTTGGATGTGATGTGATATATGTTGGAGATAGATGCGCTTTAAGTTTGATGGGCCGTGGCCGTGTGGTACCTGAGCACGCGAGCTCAAATTGCGAAATGACGCGAAGCACCCTGTGAGCTACAAAGCCCGCTGCCCAACAGCCCTGATATTTCATAACGCCGTAAAAATGATTCGTGCCCAAACGCCTTCGCTATGCTTGTATGATGGACAACCAGGTATCACTCCGTTTCCATAACCACGTCTTCCGAGGGCTCTCTGGTCTCGACGTGATTTGTCGTCTCGCGGCTCTCCCGTTTCGACTCTGCTGCTTTGGCGGCTCTCTCCCGGGTTCTGCGATTCCACTCCTCTATCGATTCCGCGCCTCCCCCTTCGATTTTGATGGTCTTAGGCTCGGCTGGAACTCCAAGAACAGTGCCTTGGAAGCGTGATTCGACGCCGGTCTTGCTGTGTTTCTTCATGAGGGCTGGGAAAAGCTGTTAGTGGACCTGCAGCTGTGATACGCGGTATTCAGACATACTATTCAAATAGTCCTCCATTTCTTCTTGATCCAACTGCTCCGTTGGGTTCGTCGCTACGGGCTTGTAGATGCCTGCTATGCGCCTAATCTCTTTGTTCTGATCGCCCTTGACCCATTCGATGAATTCGGTCACGTCTGCTGTATCCTCGGCGTCGCGCCGAGCTGCCTCGTTCTCGCGGGCACCCGTCTCTTCGTTGTACTCATCGAGGGGTTTGCGCAGTATCTCTTTCCATAGCTCTTCCCCTGCTGTCATGGTCGGCACGAGGAGGGCGCAGTCCTGCATCGCCATGCGCACATCACTAACGTCTGGCGTGAGGTCGTTGTGATTTGAAAAGGCATTGTAGGCTGTTCGTTCTGCCAGTAGTGATAGGTATCGGGCTGTGAGGTCTACAATGGTGTCGACAGCCGAAGGTTTGCCATGCTGGAAGCCCGTCGCGCGTAGAATATGGAGGACGGCGGGCCGCAGCAAGTTGAGAAAGAGGTCGTTCTGGGACATGCTTGCATTCACGTAAGTGAGGTGAGATGCAGAGGTCCGGTCGGTGTCGTGCTGTTACGGTGGAAACAGCAGGCGCATTGTGGTATTGTTTCGGCGCAGTAGAGTGTAGGGAAGGTGAAGGGACGCGATGGGAAAGCTTTGGCCCTTCACCATGGCGGCTGCCAAGACCGAGCACCCATGGAATGTGAACGACTCCGACTCACCTACTCCAGCTTCCACACCACCGCGCACTCTCGCAAATGTCGCGCTCACACGCGCGTACTCGAACATCGCCGTCGTGAACAACGAGTCCCTACGTGTCGTCGTCCAAGATGAAGCTCAAACTCAAGAACCCGAACGCCGCTCCCAGCGATGCGCCGCCCTCAGAACCTCCCCCGTCCGACGCGCCTACACCCGTTTCCGCAAAACCAGGAGGCCTTAAGATCAAGTTGAAGCCTGTAGCCCCCGCGGCCGGTGAGCCTGCGGATAGCCAGAATGGCGAGGCCAAAGCGAAGCGCAAGTACACCAAGAAGCCCAAACTCGACGAAAGCGGTAATGTCATTCCCCCGGGAAAGCCTGGACCCAAGAAGAGAGCACGCGAAGATGGCGGCGATGATTTCGATTCACCCGCCGCCAAGCGCAAACCGAAGCCTACCGCGAAGAGCCTCGCCATGGCTAACGATACCGACGACGAGGACGACTACACCGCGGTCGAACAACCTCCACCACAGCCCATCAAGTCGCACAACCGCACTCAATCTATCAAACTCTCCATCAAACCGAAGGGAGCCATGGGCTCGGCGAGACCCAGTACTGCTATCCTCAAGGTCAAAGGTGCAGGAAAGCCGCCAGTCAGACCATACGGTGTCGGTTATGACAGTGAAGCAGAGGAGGCGGAACCCGACCCAGCGATCGAATCGCAGTTTGTGCTGCGCATGAAGCCCGGCCCAGACTGCGATCTTCTGCGGAAGTCCATCGAGGAGAAGACTATTGGCAAGAGCGTATCGCAGGGAGGGCCCGGCGTACACTTCCGATTCTTCGACCGCGAGGGTCGGCGAGCCATGCTCACTATACAGAACCGCATGTACGCTGCGACCATGGTCGAGCTCCCCGCAGTCATAGAGTCGCTGAAGAGTTGGAACAAGAAGGATTGGGTCAAGACCGCAGACGTATGCCAGATGTTACTAGTTTTGGACGAGGTTAAGAACGAGGACGAAGCTAGGAAGTTCCCGCTTCCTTCCTACATCTCTCCAGACACCCATCGGTTTCCCCATGGTCTGACACCACCCATGAAGTGGGCTCGCAAACGGCGTTTCCGCCCTCGCAAATCATACATTGATGTTGAGCGAGCCGAGGCGCAGTTGAATCGACTTATAGAGAATGATGCGACTGCAGTGTCAACAAAGTACGAGATGGTAGATAGTGAGGCAGAAAGCTCAGAGGAGTCAAGTTCTGAAGAGGAGGTCGATGACGATGAAGAGATGGCAAATGCTACCCAAGTGGAGGAAATGGATGCCGACCAACTGGAGCAGATGCTTGCTGAAGGACTCATGGATGACGAGGTTGAGTTCCAGGGCGATAATGATCAGCTCAACGCCTTGCTCGCTGGTAACAACAATGTGCAAGTTGAACAGGTCGACACTCCTACGACCGCTCACGATGTCGCTATGCACGCTCTGGGCCATAATGGCAATGTCGTCGAAACTGAGACTGCGGCTTCTACCCCAGCAGCAGCGACATCTGCAGACGACGATGATGACGATGACGATGCTGATTCTGATGAAGACGTCGATGAGGTGGATGAAGCCGCGGCGGCTGAAGAGCAACGTCAAGAGCAACTCCGGGGTGAGATTGCAGAGTTGGAGAGGGCTATTGTTCAGAGCACAGAAGCGCGCGACAGGCAGACCAACGTCCTCTTCAAGAAGCGTGTGCAAACCCAGATCGATAAGCAGAAGGCCGATCTTGCAATCAAGCGTAAGCAGCTCGGAAATGAAGAGGCGGATGAATAAACGGACCTCCTCCTAGACTTAGGTCTTCTTGGGTCATGAAGTTTGGGTAGTATGTTTCAACAGAGATGGTAGCATTGCGATGGCGTTCTTACGGGATGTAGAGCATTCATGTGGCGTTCTAGGGACTAGCAGTGCAGCGGTTATGATTCTTTATCGATTATGCTCTATTTCAACTACTGTTTCTACAAGCATGTGTTCAAACCAAGGCACTTTACCTAGCTTTATACAACCACTCGCAAGGACATGTAACCAGCATTTCTGGAAGAACCTTCTACAATGTGGGAACCAGATTACGACTGTCACGTTCATGCAAAAGTCTTGCAGCGTCAAAAGTGCATCATGCAGAATCATAGTTAATCAGTCAGCGTCTTTCGTAAACTGTTAGAGATCACAATCACATCAGCATCATCGAGTGTTCAAATGAACGATTAAAGTAGTTGATTTCTCAGCATCTCCAAAACGGGTATATACAAAACAAGGAAACCGTGTGCGACTAGAGTTAGACCGCCATTCGTAAAAGCCATTTACAGGTTCGTGCCAGAGCCAAAATACAAAGCGCCTATGCTAACAAATGGGACGCCTTTTGGGAGAATGCGACGCTTGAACGCGCAAAAAGAGGGGGTAATAAGAAGGTAGCCAAAAGCAGGCAGATGCAACAACGAAGAAACCTTTCGAGATGGAAACCCAGCGCCAAGTTATCATGATAGTGAAAAAAAAAACCAGAACAAGGAGAACAAAGCGTTGCTGTCCAAGAACAGAAAATGCTGATACTCAAAACGGAGCATCAAGAATAACCACATAGTTAAACAACAAAGAAAAGATCAGTCACTCTCCAGTAACTGTCTGATCTTCTCGTAAAAACTTGCGGGATACTGACGAATCTCATCATCAGTAGGAGGGCTTTTGTTCGGATCCCTAAACCGATCCGCGACTCTTTGAATGATCTGACCGAGCAACTCCTGCGGTATCCTGAGGTCATCGCCGCCATCGGGGTACAGAAAAGGATCTCTTTCGTCCAAGAGTTGAGCGACGTTTGGTCGACGCGAGGCGTCACGTTGCAAGCAGCGACGAAGTGTCGCTTTGAGACCAGGAGGGACACGAACATCACCGACACCGAGATCGGGGATTTCGATCTTGTAGTCGCGATTGACGATGGCGAGGACACGCGCCATCTGGTTTGTAATGTGTGCGAAAGGAGGACGGCCGTAGACCATTTGATAGAGGATACAGCCAAGACTCCAAACGTCAGAAGGTTTCCCTAAAGCCATGTCTTTGGAGCCGTTGCCGTTAGACAAGAGGCCTCGGGCGCCGCCAGCGGAGTCTTCGAGCGATTCTGGTGACATGTAGTTTGGAGTGCCAATGTGTGAATCCCGGTGCACGTTTACGGTGTGGTCAACTTCGATGGCGTTTGCAATGCCGAAATCGATGAGCTTTAAGCGGCCCGAGGTAAGGAGGAAGTTTGCTGGTTTGAGATCTGAGTGGACAATGTCGTGATCGTGAACTGCTCCGACGCATTCGAGCATTTCCTTCCAATAGTAACGTGTAAAGCTCAGGTCTAGTTTGCCATCGCCATCGGCTGGGTCGAGTTTCATCCGTATTATGCGTGCGAGATCCGATTCTCCGAGTTCCATGAGCTGGTAGATGTTAGTGTTGTGCTTTGCCTTCTCTCGGAGTATACATACCACACTGAGCACCTGCCGTTGCTCGTCCACCTCCCAATCGTATAGTCTGACAACGCGATCAACGTTCTTGAGCTTCTGGAGCAGGTCGATCTCGCCTTTGAAGCCTCGCACGGTGGCCTCGTCTGCATCTTCAAGCTTGACTCTCTTCAGTGCCAGTAGCTTGAAATTCTCTGCCATGACACGGTAAACAGCCGAACTGCCTCCTCGTCCGATCCTGTCCATTTGGGAGTAATGCTTCCCGTTGACGGATAATGTGCTCCTCTTCTTTCTCTCCCTTGTCTTTGTTGTCGCCGCTCCGGCCGCAGTGGTCGCCGTCTCCAGCACTGACATCTTCGGGGGAGGTGGAGGTGCTGGTCTTCGCGGTGTGTTCGCGTCGAGCGCCTGGAGTGGCCTTTGTTTCTCTTGCTGCTGCGATGATCGTTGTATGGGTGACTGGTGCTCTGGAGGTGGTTGCATGTGGCGATCCTCTGCCACCTTCATGACAGAGCCGGTAACCTTCAGGACAGAATCGGGCACGTTCTCAGGCTGCGCCTTGACTGCTGACATGGGCATGTTTTCTTGGTCTTGAGAGGGATGGTGCTCTTCTTCGCTCTGAGGTGTCCTCCGAAATCTCCTCATGGGCGCACCCCGTAATGGTACTCTCTTTATTCGCAAACTTGGTGCAGGTGTGACGGTATCTTGCACTGGTGTGTTGGAGCCAGGAGATGCATTGCGCGAGATCTTCAGCTTTGGTTTCCTTTTCTCAGGCGAGTCGACGTCACTCCCTTGCGCAAGTAGTGCAGTTGTCAAAGCGCTAAGCTTCATAGGTTGCGGTATCTCGTCGTCGGAGCTGTCGCCAATGTTGATGTTCTGCATCATGGGCGCATCCGCTGAGAAGCCCTGTGATTGACCCAACACCGAAAGCGGAGAGTCCCTCCTGGGTCGTATCGAGGAGTGCGCACGCATGCGACCCCCATATGAGGGCGTGGGCGAAACGGTAGCCATTCCAATGTCGCGTCGAGATTGTGGAGGCGCGTTCCTATATATGTTCTCGCCGGGTTACGTGGATAGCGATTGTTGGCTGTGGGTTAGTTGCGCATACATCCGGAAGGTAGGCGTTCTGTTTCGTAGTAAGAATGGGGTGAAGTTGGCGTTCATCAATACTTGGGTAGCGCGCGATTCTGAGACTCGCGTGGGTCGCGTTGCTGAGGTAACGGCGACAAACAAACAGCCGAGCTACACCTTGACGTCAAAAAGCCTTGTCCGCCAAACCATCACTAGCTTGAGCGTGTGATCTGTGTTGCTTGTCTGAGCTTTGACGTTGCAGCGTAGTCTAGGGTTCAATGTATCCTGCGTTCCAGTGTTTTCACTGTTGGAAAGACCCTATCACAACCTGATAAACACGTTGCTAAAGACTACTCAGACTCATCCGCTTTCGTCGCAATGATGAGTTTCGCTCAACCCTAATACAACGGCTGAACATCGTAGTCTGACTGTACTTGTAGTGTGCTCTCATCTCTAAATGTACATGGGAGACGGTATGCAACGGTCGTATTCAGGTATATTGTTTTCTAGCGTTTCTGTCTACTTTTCCAGATTCATAACCTCCACTAAGCATGCAAATGGCCAACAGGATTACCAAACCATAGTTCTATGCGCAGATACGCCTCCAATCCCAAGCGTGAGTCTTCTCCGAAACGCCATCGCCTACCCATGCAGCCAAACAACAGAGGTCTAATGCATTCAATCACAATTTTGCTCGCTGAGGTGCATCCTCTAGTACAACAGCTACCACGGCAGCAATGTCATCCGGTTTGCCGCCATGCCAGTTCTCCCCAGGGTAGTACCTTTGCACCTCTTTAGCGAACGGTCCATCTCGACGAGTGTTCAGCCCTGTTACTTTGGCCTCTTTCGCGATTGCAACCGCCACTTTGGCTTGGAGGGATGAGCTGTCGGCTTTCCGAGCTGAGTCGGCCTGTACCAGCTTCGCTAGGTCTTGTCCGACTTCAATGGTGCCATCTTTCTCTACCCAAGCACCCAGATCGACCATGTGACGACTAACGATACCGAGCGCATCCTGAGGGCTCAGGTTGTCCCACACACCATCAGTTGCGAAGACGAGGACATCGCCATGGCGTACTTTGTGGTGCGTTATACTCGACTCCTTGGGTAGGTCCGAAAGTGTGGATGGGCCTCCAAATACAGCCATTTGCACTAGCATACGTTGGGGAGTTTTGGAGAGCTGATACGGGGTATTGAATGCGTGCGTCTGTGGCTGCGTGAAATGTCGTACTGCGTTCAATCCCAGGTGCATGAATCCTGAATCTCCTAGGTTGGCTACCTCGACGTTGCCGTCCGGTTCTGCAACAGCCAGACATGCGGTGCTACCACCACCCTCAATGCTGTCATCATCTGTGACCTCGTCATACGCAACCTGGAGCAAGTCTTTTGGGTGTAATGCTGTCGTGTTGAAACCGTGTGGCCATGAGCGCGCTGCGCAAGCCATGTACTCGCACAAGCCATGGGAGAAGTCAGCTGGGTCCAGTCCAGACTCGACCCATCCTCCGACTCCATCCGCTACACCAAATGTTGTGGTTTTTGTGTTTCCCACCTGGCTGAAAAAGAAAGCATCCTGGCCACTTCTCGCTCGTCTCCGCTTGTCAATGGACTCCTTGCAGTCGCGCAGATCCTCATTGCTGATGCTGGGGTCATGCACTGGTTGTGTGAAGAGATTTTGCTCCGCATTGAAGCGATCCTGCTTGGCTGAATAGGATGCCGCGACGTGGTAGGTATACTGCGGTGTACTCCGCCAGTTGTGTGAGGTGGAATGAAAGGATCGTAAGCCGACAGTGGCCGGGGAAGTGTCTCTGTTCAGCGGGCAGGTCGGTTGTGCGAAGTTGGAAGGCATACGATGCGGATGAAGGCCTGATGTTCGACTAGAGGAGGCAGACGCTGCCAATGGCGAGGCGGAGAGAGCAAGCAGCAAAAATGCACTGGATGAGGCGCGTCGCGACACAGGTGAAAGTCGCGCAAGGCCCGCCGCGCTGGTAATGGCAAATGACATGGCCACAGCCAGAGCCTGGAAATTCAAGGTCAGTACGTTGGAGTGTTGGCGTGAGAGCAGCGCATGCTGGCGGTGCCGTACCTCTGCGACAAGATATGTTGAAATGAAAAGGGACTAAATCACATTGGCCGTCGTCATTGCCGATCGGCTAGTTTTTGGAGGCCGTGGTACTTACAATTATTTGAAGCATCCTCAAAAGATGGAAATAGCAGAAGGAAGCCCCAGCAGCAAACTAGGAACAACGAGCTGGCATTGTTTTACTGAAATCTGGTCTCTAACCTGCAGAGCATGTTCGTCTAGACCAAACACTGCAGGTGATTCACGCTTCGTCTCAAACGCGGAGTATGACATAACCGACGCTAACTCAGCCCTATCGCCTAAACCCGTGTCTGGCCCCGAACTTCTTTTCGAGATACTTCGCTACGAGCATCAGCAACCTTGCCCACGGCGGGACAAGCAGTCAAGATGAGCATGCACCCGGCGCGACAGGCTTATGTGGAGGAGGAGAATGGTGCGGTACGTACCCAGTGACTTGCGGCGAGAGACTGGCCGAGGAGCTTCACGTGCTTCGCAGCTACCTTGCAAGCTTGTCTTCGCATTCGAGCTAACCCAGGCATGTAGGACGATGCGATGGAGGGTATCGACCTTTCCAGCGTGCCCCTTGACCGCGATCATGCCATGCCCGGTGGAGGAAATGCGTCGGCCCATTCCCTCATGGAGGATTTCGACCGCAAACGACGAGCAGCGCAACTCATCGTACCGACCGCCGACCGCGACGTCAAGGCAAAGCTGCGCTCGCGAGGCGAGCCTATCACTTTGTTTGGCGAAGGGCCTTCGGAGCGACGCGACCGACTTCGAGCTCTGCTTGCAGAAGCAGCCGAAGCATTGGGTGAGGATGCGGCAGATGTGGATATGCAAGATGCAGACGAGGCGCCTGGTGACGAGCAAGAAGAGTTCTATACACAAGGCACACAATCACTACTCGACGCCCGGCGCGACATGGCCAAATACTCTTTACCCCGCGCAAAGGAGCGCGTCGCATACCAGCGTCGCGAAGCTACCATCCCGCTGAAAACCCACGTCGAGTTCCGCAACACCATCAAGGACCGGCTGAAGGGCTTTGAGCTCTATGGGTCGCAAACCGCAGATCGCCCAGTTAGTATTGTGCGCGTCTCACCCAACGGCAAGTATGTCGCATACGGTACCTGGGGTGGAAAAGTTGCGCTCCTGGAAATCCCTAGTTTGGAACAGAAGAAAGCCTATCGCGGTGGGCATACGGAGCGCGCAACTGGCATAGATTGGATGCCAGGCGCGACACTTGAGGGCAGCAACGTCTCGACCTCTAGCGTGAATTTCGCTTCTGGTGGAGCAGGCGGCAAGATCCAGCTTTGGTCACTAGACGACGACAAGCCCCTTCGCACTCTCCAAGGTCACACCGATCGCGTCTGTAGAGTAGCGTTCCATCCCTGTGGACGGTACTTGGCCTCAGCTTCCGATGACACGACATGGCGACTCTGGGACGTCAACACCGGACAAGAGCTCCTCATGCAGGAGGGTCATTCCAAGGAAGTCTATACCGTAAGCTTCAACGGCGATGGGTCCTTGGTTGCAAGTGCAGGTCTCGACAGTATCGGCCGCGTGTGGGATGTGCGCACAGGCCGTGTTATTTACATGCTGGAGAGCCACATCAAGCCCATCTACGGTCTGGACTGGGCAACGGATGGTCATCGCCTACTCTCTGGTTCAGGAGATGGTTTCATGAAGTGCTGGGACGTCCGCGCGATGAGAGAGACAAACTCAATTGCGGCCAACACTGGAGGTGTCACCGACCTACGATGGTTCAAGGGTACGGATGGACCAGCCAGCGGAGTGCCGCTGCAGGAGAACAGCCAAGGGGAACTCATACCAAAAAAAGCTTCTACCTTTGTCATCTCTTCTGGATTTGACAAAAACGTTCAGATCTTTTCAGCAGACGATTGGGCGCACTGCAAAACACTCCAAGGCCACTCTGGCCCTGTCTTCAGTACCGATGTGACGAGCGACGCGTCTTGGATCGTCAGTGGCGGTAAAGATCGCACTGTGAAACTGTGGGCTAGAGACGATAACGGAGGAATATGAGACCAGAATTGTCATACCACGCTATGGCTCATGATGTTTGACGGCGACAGCCGCAAGCATGCGATAAAAGCAAGGGGAGCGATGGCCATGAGTTTGAATGGAATCACAAAGGTCAGTGCTAGCCCTTTCTACCTGAACGCCGATGTTGAACACAGAATGTCCATAGCTTCAAAACGAGATACCCAGTACTCCCGAGCGCGTGGAGCTACCAATACACAGTGCGTTGCGCAACTAGGAGTGTGCAACGTCATCCTTCAACTTCATTCCAACCTCCTTTACATGTTCACTCGCTGCTTTTCTTCAGTTTCGAGACTCACCGCTCCTTGCCCGTCTCCGCGCGCGCTTGACAGGACCGATACCTCAAAACCATGCGACCCGGCTTACGCGGTGGTGATCTACTCATCATCGCGAGACTACGGAAGACCGCTCGGCATTTGTCGGACAAGATGAGACATGTTGCTACCCTTCCGTCTGTAGTATGGCATCGCGTCACCTTCTCTACCCAGCTCTACCCATAATTCCAAAACACATCCAAGTCGAAGCAAGGCAGCATCTCCTCTCACCGCAATGATTAGAACATTCAAGAATGTTTCTTCCTCACCGCAAGATGATCGACATCGAGACAGGACCTGCGATGGACTGCTCTTAGACATCGGCCGACGGACTAGTTTGATAATGGACCACCGACTGGACTTCGGGAAGTGTAACCGCTCCCGCGAAGTGTTTCAGGTTTTTCAGATCCACCACGACAGAGCGAAGATACAATGGTCTCGAATTCTAGGTGTTCCACCGCCTTCCATGCGCTTGCCGTCATCGGCCGGCGCTCTGAGCTTTTGGTGATTTCTCTCACCACCCATGCAACGACCGAGTGCGGAGAAAGACAAGTGACTCATGGTTTCAAACAACAAAACACAGTGCATGGTGCCAAGACGTCAACGATCGTGGACATTTTCTACAGACAAGAATAACTATGACGGCGATTTCTAGTGGTTATGGCCCATGCGCGGATGCGGAGAGTGGGCCTTTCACCGCTACAGCCTCACCTTTTTGGCAGCCACAATTAGTCGACGTCAATTTAGGGCCCTTTATGCCATGCGCTTTAGAGATTGGGCTCCATTGGGTTTCTCATCATGTCTGTTTGATTCTCATGCATCAGCATCGGTAATAGTTTCTGGTCAATATGAAGCCTTCGTCTCAGGGTAGAGAAGTCGGAAGCATCCGAGTACAATAAGTGGAGCATTGCATTTGGTCTAGTATGCAGTCCCTGGCCCCGAGTTACGCGTGCCACAGTACGCGCCATAACACGGAGTAGAGAGGATCAACAGCGACGGTCGATCCGGAAGCAGTACTGCGCGTCGGCGGGATGGCTTAGCTTGTCAACAGGAAGAGTGACGCGTTGCCATTTCCGAAAGACGGCGCGCTCACCTGGTGTGACGCGAAGTGTAGAGTTTTGCTTAGGGATGTATGTCTTAGTAGCCGCAGTACGCGTTACACAGCGCGGGCAGGGTGCACAAACCGCCATAGCGAGGCTGTATTACGGCACAAAGCTGGTGATTGCAGTGGAGATGGACATTTGGCAGCTTGATACTTTGCCTACTATGGCTGTCATGCGAGACTTGATACAAACCGTCTGATGTTGCTCGGCGGAAATGGGAGAAAGCGGCAACAAGCAAGCATGAGAGCGATTACCAAAAAGCGACCAATGACGGACGGGGAAATTCTGGAGAGTTTCCAGGCCTTCGGTAAGATGAGATAGTGGGATCTCGAGGGTGGCACAGGACGGTAGGCTGTGGCTGCTGTGTTTGCCTCTTGATGAGCACGCCGACAGAGTCGAGCCATAGCCCAGCCAGACGGAGCGGCGGCCGCTTGGTACCTTGCACGAGGTAACTGGTCACGATAACGAGGGCGGGCACGCAAGTACAGGAACGGTAGTCAAAAAGCCAAAATAGACAGGGAAGCATGGTGCGGGCAGGGAGCGGTGAGATGACTCGCGGACGCCAGAGCGAGCCGGAACTTGGACAGATGACACCATGATGAAGACCGTCTAGGCGGCCAAGAGGGCTCACCTTGCTCAGGAAACGAAGGCGGGCTGCAAAAATGGGAAATGAGATCAGAGTCGGGTGATGAGCAAGTGCCGGGCTACGAGTGGTCGGCGGTGGTTGTGATGATGGTCGGGGTGTGTAGTGTAGTGAGCAAAGGCCGGGGCTAAGGCGGGCCGCGTCGTACTCAGCAGACAGTACTCATGATGATGATTACGCCAGAAGGTCGCGATATGCGCCGCTACCATTCCGAAACAACAATTCCCAGAGTTGCGGGAGGGCATTTTTCGACAAGCGCGCATTGCATCTTGACTCTTTCGAGCAGAGTTTTCACGGCGCGCGGCCGAGGAGGGTATAGGCGAATCGCGATGCAGTCCGGTGGAATAATGGCAGTATATGGGCCGGCCCGCGCAGACTAGCCAGTCATGCTCTACGTATCGATAGAGCAGCAGCATTGCAGAAGCGCAGCAGCAGAAGCACGGGGCGGCACGGGAGCAGCAGCCGAGCTGTCGTACCAAGCGCTCATGTCTGGTTTGACACGGAGAGTCGTGTCTGGCTTGACAGGACAGACATGGCAGATTCGCATGCCCCGTGAATCCAGAAATACACATGGGTGACAGCGGGCGGGCGACAAACGGCGGCAGAGCATCACTCTGGCAGACGGCTGCCGACCAGCCAGCGACATGC